AAATTTTTTTTTTTTTTTTTTTTTTTTTTTTTTTTGTATCATCTCTGCAGGTTATATTGAAGATAATCAAGCATTGCAAAGAGTTTTCACCAGCCCTTGTGACTGGGCAGCTTCTTGGATTAGATGTTGGTAGTGTTCTTGAAGTCACTAATTGCTTTCCCTTTCCGGTACAATGAGGCAGTTATTTTCACGTCGTTTAATGGTTTTGGGTTTTCTTTTTTCTACCTTTGAAATTATTTTAATATATTAACATGAATCTGTTAGACACGGGAGGAGGATGAGGAGATTGAAGCTGATGGTGCTAATTACCAGCTTGAAATGATGAGATGTCTGAGAGAAGTCAATGTTGACAATAACACTGTCGGATGGTAAGCATAATTTTATAATAGTACATATTTATGGAGGACATGACATTATTAGTAGGGAATCATGTGTATATGCATGTATGTTCTTTGTGTTCATATTCTTCACTTGTTTCTGATCAGTTTCTTTTTTACCTCCATATGTTAAAAACATGTGGATTATTTTTCCTTTTTGTTTTGTTTTTGGATTTTTACTTTGTTGTATTAAGGATAAAAAAAAAGTCTTTAGTGTCTTGGTTAATTTGGTTAGATCAGACATGCATTTGCAAATCCGAGGCATTTAAATGTAAGGTTGCTACTTCATTTGGGTGTTCTTTTGCTTTGGCTTCATGAACACCAAAACAAGTGTTCTGTCCCTTGTGCTTGATGATATATGCTAATTATTAACTGACCGTGTCATGTTGGTGGAGCTCTTATGCTGACTTGATTGACATTATTGAAAGATAGATTTCAACTAATTTTTCTTTGATGTTTATGTGAAGTGGATGACATTTTACTTAATCATATTCAGGTATCAGTCGACCTTCTTAGGTTCATATCAGACAGTAGAGCTGATTGAGACCTTTATGAATTATCAGGTATTAGTATGTGTGTTTATTTAGTATCAAAACTTTTTAAAGCGTTGTATGTGCTTATATCTTCATCATTTGAAGCTTTTCTGATTAACTATCAGAGTTTTCGAAATCTCTCTCCTTTCTGTGTCTGTTCATTTTAGTAACTTCTGTGAACAACTTGTGGAAATTCTTGTCAAGATCATTGTCAATGTTCTGTATTTGGATAACTGGATTCAAGGAGGAAGGTAAAGATACTAGAAGTAAATGACGAGTCGAAGAGAGATGGAATGACAATTTGTATCCATCCTTTTTTTTTTTTTTTTTTTTGAGAGGGAGAGAAAGGTGGCATGTTCTTGAAAAGTTTATTAGTAATAGGAGATATTTTTGTAGAAGAAAAGGAGTTTGATATAAAATTTCTATCTAGGGAATCTTGAGAAATCTTATCTTTGTAAAGAGCTTTGACCCAGACCAATTACCCAATTTTAGATATAAAACTATCGATTTAAATAAAAAATTATTGAATATGAACACTTTTGGAAGATGACCATTTTTTCCAATTGTAATTGGGTTAGTTTCTTGCCATCCTTTTGGTTTCAGGATCTCCTGGGTTTTGCTATTAAGGGACTACCAAAATTTAAAGCCCCTTTTTTAATTCTTTTGAGGCACTTTGGTTCAGTTTGCCTATGTTTTCCGTGGTCTTCTCTTTTATACTTTCAGCATTCTCAAAAGAATAATGATTTCAGAGAACTTGCGCCAGATAATTTCTGAGGTTGAATATTTATAGATGGTTAAAATTCATCAATAGTATACAAGTTTTAGGTTTGCCTGTTTAGTGCCTGTCGCTTGAATAGAGCTTCCTGATTAACTGAGTTCAACACCATCAATCGTGTTTCTTTTTTTTACCTTGGCCTATATTTTTAACTCTTGATTTACATTTCTATTTTAGGTCATCTTATTAAAACATAAACTTGCAGGAAAATATTAGGCGGTGTGTCTGCATAATTTATGACCCATCAAGGTCTAATCAAGGCGTCTTAGCTCTCAAAGCATTGAAGCTTTCAGATTCTTTTATGGAGCTTTACCGCAGTAACAACTTTACAGGAGAGAAGTATGAAATTTAATTTCTTTTATTCTTTTAACTCAAGTTATTTATTGGAAATTTATTTGTCTTGGTGCAATAGGTTGAGAGAGAAGAACTTATCATGGGTGGATATTTTTGAAGAAATACCTGTATGTCACTTGGACCCCCCATATCCTTGTCCGGATCTTACTCTGATAATTGGTCAAAAGTCATTGTGGGTCTACAGACTTTTTACGTTGACATTATAACATAATCATTGTGATATTTCTTGTATCTTTCAGATCAAAGTTTCATAGTGATTTTATGACGGAGCTTGAAGCTGACTCGCCAGTCACCCAGGTAAAACATAACTTGTGGCTACTGCCCTCGTTGTTGGTTATCTAAATTTTATCATTGCCTTCTTTTTTTTATTGATTAGATTCATTGCTGTTTTAGTGTGATTATGACCGCCTGCAACTTCCAGCGAATCCATTTATGGAGAGGAATGTGGAATTTCTGATTGAATGTATGGATGATTTGTCGGTCGAGCAGCAGAAGGTTTGTGTCTCTAGTTTGCCATGGGCACGGTAAAGTTCAACGTTTCTCTAGTCTCTGTTTTATGATTGGTTGTAGCACAATATAAATCAATATTCTTGTTTTAGTTCCAATTCTATTATCGAAGCCTGACACGTCAGCAAGCTCAGCAGCAAGCATGGCTTCAGAAGAGGAGGTAATTCTTGTTGGATAGCACATTTAAGACGTATAGTTTTCCTTATTCATGTGCATTTCTGTTACATCAATGAACCCTGGTTAGGAAAGCTTTCTTGGGTTTTAACACAAACGTTTTCATTACACTTCGCTGGCATCGTAATTCGTCACGATTGCAAGGATAAAACTGTTTGCAAGTAGAAACATTTGCATATGAATGTAAAATAGGCGTGTTCATACGTTTCTGGAATCTGTTTTGTAGGGCAGAGAATGCGATGAGGAAAGCAGCAGGAGAAGAACCTCTCCCTGAGGAGGATCCTACAAACCCCATCTTTAAACCACTCCCTGAGCCATCACGTTTGGATAGCTATCTCATAACGAATCAAATAGCAAATTACTGCAATCAAATTAATGGGTATGATGCTGCCTGCCTGCCTACCTGCCTACCATACCAATCTTAGAGATGCTAACATTTTGTTCAATGTCTTGAGAGTGTAATAAATAATTTTGTGTGATGAAATGTTTCAGGGTTGGTGGACAGAGTTTCAACAAGCTTCATTTGATGAAGGCTTTGCACGACAGTTAATTTTGAGGATTTTGAAGGTCCATTCTCTTCTTTCTGTAATGCCATATGATTAAGCGTTGTGAAATTGGGTAGAAATAAACTAGAGATTTTATTTTATATGATGATTCAATCGTTGAGTTGGCTGTAATCTATTCTCAATTTTATTAATACTTTTAATTTTTTTTTTAAAAAAAAAATCTTCAAAAACACCTTTAAACTTTTTATTAAGAAAAATTAAAAAAAAATACCTTTATCCCATTTGAATATTGATCGAGAGAGTAATCACATGAAATTTCACTTTATGCTTCAAGCTTTTCATCTCCAATAAAGCAAAATTACAAAATCACAAGGTTAATTCACATTATCCTCTAAATTGTGAAAACAAAGAATTAAAGGAAAAAAGTTCAAGCAATCCATTAAAAACATAGAACAGTTCCAACCAAAGGTAAACAATATCACATTTGAAATTGAGGTTCTCAAAATCCTTGTGGTATTGTTTGTGGGAGTGGAGCCTTGATGACTTGCAGAATCTGCACCACTTCAGCCATGGATGGCCTGCTTGAAGGAATTTGAGAAATGCAGACCAAAGCCAGCTTGAGTATGGGCACCACTTCATCTTCTGAATACTCACTCATGCTTGGATCAACACAATCCAACACATTCCCTCTCTCTAGCAAATACCTCACATGGTCTGTCAATATTACCACATTGTCTTCTCCGTACTCGACTGGCCTTCGTCCTGTTACGATCTCGAGAACCATCACCCCGAACCCGTGTACGTCGCATTTCTCGTTCACCCTTATGCTCTGGCATGCCAGTTCTGGTGCAATGTACCCCAAAGCACTTTGGAATCTGTTGTTTACGATGTGCTTGTCAAGCTTTGTTAGCAGTCTTGCAAGCCCGTAATCGGAGATCTTCGGGTTGAAGTTTTCGTCGAGAAGGATGTTGGTTGGCTTGAGATCGTAGTGAACGATTGGCGGACGGAATGAGTGGTGTAAATGTGCTAGTCCTTTGGCTGTCCCAAGCACAATCTTGAACCGGTTATCCCAAGAGAGTGGTGGAGATGAAGGAAGCCTTCCATGGAGTTGAGTTTGAAGACTTCCATTGGTAGCATACTCCATTACCAAGAGCTGAGTTTGTGCAGTCCAGTAGTAACCCTTTAAGCTGATCAAATTGGGGTGCTTGACCTTGCCCAAGATTTGGATTTCCCGGTCAAAATCTTCCACATTCTGAATCATGTTCGACTTCACAAGCTTCTTGATAGCTACGTCTCTTCCACCTTGATCTCCCAACGAAACCTTATAAACCGTTCCAAAAACTCCAGCACCAATCTCAGAGGCCTTGTTCAGCAAGGCTTCATGGTTACTAACCCAGTTCGGTGAACCCCTCGAGTTCGAATCAAACAAAACAAGCTTACCAGCAGTCGCAGTCCCTGATTTCGAAGAGCTCGAGCACATGCTTTCCAACGCATTGTCGACAAACGCAAGCGATCTCCTCCGAGCCGAGACATTGAGCAAGGTAACCACAAGCACCCCAAGGGCAATGAAAGTGGCAGCAGAAATGGCAACAATGGCAGAGACACTGAAGAACACATGATGGGGAGAAGAATTAGAGTATTGTGAGGGCTTGTCCCTGCTGGTTTGGCCACCCATTTGGCTGGGATAGGCATTGGGGTCAAGAACAAGGGGCTTAGGGACATTCATTTTGCAAGGTCCTTTAAGCAAAGGGGAGCAAAGGCCCAAGTTCCCTTGCAGAGCACTTTGATCCAAGCTTGGAAAGATGCCCCCAACAGGAAGCCTACCTGTCAGCATATTGTATGAAATGTTAACAGCAAGCAGGTTTTGAAGAATTCCAAGCTCTTGGGGTATTTCTCCACTCAATTCATTTGATTCGAGCCTTAGAATCTCTAGCTTGCTTAGCTTCGAGATTGACTTTGGAATTTCTCCGCTTAGATTGTTGTGGGATAAACTCCTGCATATACCCAAACACACATTTAAAAGTTTAGAGACTAAACTTATAATTTAATCAAAATAAATTATATAACTAATTCCATCTTAGAGTTAACCTTTTGATAGGAAGAAGTGAAATTATATTTCTTTAAAAAATGAAACTAAAATAAACCGTCCAGAAATAGACAAGGTAAGTAAAGTAATTTAGTCCTTAAGATTTAAAAGTTTGAACTCTCCCTATAGTTTGATAACACTCGTAAATAATTCCTGATCATAAGGACATCTTATAAAATTTTATCAAACTAATAAGGATGAAACTGCAAATTTGAGTTAAAAAACAAAAGTACATCTTGAAAAAGAAGGGACCGCAGTGGTAGAATACTTACAGCAAGTATAGTGAGACACAATTTCCAATCTCGTCGGGAATTGGACCAATCAAAGAGTTGCCATCGAGCTGAAGAATCCCCAGACTGCCAGAATCACACAGTTCTCCGGGGATTGAGCCATGCAGATCACTGCTTCTGAGGTCCAACACATTCAAGTTCTGAAACAAACCCATTTCCGGTGGAATCTTTGCTTTAAAGTTGTTCCATGAGAGATTCAAGTACTTCAAATTTTTGTACAATCCCATTTCTGCTGGGAAGTTGCCTTCTAATCTGTTCCTTGACAGGTCCATCCTTGTGAGCTTTTCATACAGCTTGCTTGATCCTACTGGGACTGAACCAATCAGCTCGTTCTGAGACAAATTGATCTCCTCCAAACCCAGTTCAAACAGCCCCTCTGGCACCCTTCCATTCAAGCTGTTTCCTTCTAGCTTGAGCACAGATAGCTCAGAACACTTCATCAATGTCTCTGGGATGTTCCCAGACAGCTTGTTGTTTGAAAAACTCATGTATTTGACAGATCTCAATCCCCCCATTGCCAAGGGAAGGCTGCCAGTGAAGCCATTGCTTGAGAATTCCACGTAGTTCAAGCTTGTCATGTTCCCAATCCACTGCGGGAGCTCCCCTGAAAACGTGTTGAACCCAATGTTCAAGAAGGTCAAGGAGGTTAAGAGCCTCATCGACTCCGGTAATGGCCCGGTGAGGCGGTTCCTGCTAACATCCAATGTAGATAAGTGGAGACATAGTCCCAAGTCTGTAGGCAATGGCCCTGAGAACTGATTGCTCTGTAACTTGAGCTCTTTCAAGCTATGGATGGCTGAAATCCCTTGCGGTAAATACCCAGAGAAAGCATTTTTGGAAAGATCCAATGTCCTGAGCCTTGTCAAAGACCATAAATCCAAGCTACCAGAGAACTGATTGGCCGAAAGATTCAGAGTGTTTAAATACAAACACCTTGTGTGCAATGTGTTGGGGACAGGGCCTTGAAGCATATTAGACGCAAGAGAAAGATAATGAAGCGAAGAACAGTTAGCAAACATTTCATCAGGAATCGGCCCAGAGAACAGGTTATCAGAAAAATCAAGAAATCTAATGGAGGACATAGAGATTAAAGAAGTGGGTATCCGCCCAGATAAACGATTACGACTGAAAGTAACTCTCTGAAGACTGGGAGGAAGAACAAGCTCAGGACTAAGATTGCCAGTGAAATTATTGCCAGAAAGCGAGAGTACCTTGAGATGCTGCAATTTCTCAAACCCTCGTCCGATTCTCCCTGATAGCCCGAATCCATCGATGGAAAGCTCGGAAACTCTGCCATTGATGGGGTTGCATTTAACGAACTCCCAGGAACAAGGAGAATCATCGTCTTCATTCCAGGAGGCGAGAAGGGAAGAGGGGTCGTGGAGGGCAGATTTGAAGACAATCAAGCCGAGAATATCGTCGTTGAGTTGAGGGGAAACGGCATCAAGAGCAATGCAGTTGTGAAGAAGAATGGCGATGGATCCCAACAGGGAAAGGGCCAAAAAACGGAGGAAATCCATGGAGAAATCAGTCAATCAATGGAGTGAAGAAGGGAAAGAAGCATAGAAAAAGAGAGAAAACAGAAGAAGAAACGAAGAAGAAAGACATGGATTGATATGAAGAAGGCCAAGGCCATGTTGGCTCATTGTCGCGTACTTCATCCTCTCGTGTTGCTTCGCTTTCTGCGCCTTTCTATTTTTTGAGCTCACCTTCTTCTCTAAATTATCTCTTTTATTTATTTATTTTTTTTCATTATTATTTTCATTTATGAAATTCAACCAAATATTAACCCCAAATATTTCATTTTGGTCCTTAAACTTTTAAAATATTTATTTTTATCTTTAAAATTTAAAATGGATGAATTTTCAAAATATTTATTTAGTAGGTAAATGTTTAAAACAATTTTGATTATTAAATTTATTTTTCTTAAAGATATATTTTAAGGAATTACTTTTTTGATGTAAAAGTAATATATTATAGACTTTTATTTAATTTAAAAAGACTGAAATAAATATGATGAAAGTTGAGGGACTAAAATTGTTATTTTTTAAAAACAGTATAGGGACTAAAATAAAAAGTGTGGACTTCTTTTGAGTTTTTTTTTTTTTTTTTTTTGTCATTAAAATCCACGTAATTAAACTTTACATAAAAATAATTAGATTCATTCTTCACCACTACTTTTCTTTTTTATCTTACAAATTTCATCATATATATATATATATATAGATGTGTCGGGTCAATATTGGAAGGACGAGATCGATCATGACAAGTTGAATTATGATGGTTTTCAACGACCGTTATTTAATAGAGGAAGACACTACGAAATTATAAAACTAACGGTATAGTGATGTGTGAATGAATCCTTAAATATATGAAATTATGACAAAAAAAACGACTTAAAATTGATAATTATTACCATTTTTTTTATATATATAATTCAATTGTTAGTGAATATAAAAAAAAAAAGTGCTAAAATGGTTCGGGTTGGTCAATGAGAATAATTTTCAAGTTAAAATAAAAAATTTTAAAATAAAATTTAAATCTAAATTATAGTCATGTATAATATTTTTTAAATTAATTAACTTCATTATATTATTTTAGTTATTCATATGATTATTAATGCATAAAAAGTGTGTATCTGACTAACACTCCCTATATTTAATTAAAAAATAAATATAGAAAAAAAAGAAAGGGACAAGATTATATTTTATTACCCATAATTAGATACCATTTAATTGATTTTAAATTCATTAATTATTATTCTTACGATTCCATACTTATAAACAAAAATTAAAAAAGACAAACTGCACTTTTTTTTATTCATTTTTTTAAAAATTTCAATTTTTTATTATAGCATTAAATTCTGCTGTTTTTTTTTTTTTTTCATAATTTCAATAAAAAAATTAATAATAAATGACAATTTACCACTTTATGAAAATTTTATGGTAAATTACATTTCATGCTTTATTAATTACCTTAATTACAATTATGTTATCAAAATTTTGTATTGACATTTTTGTCCTATCGGGTCCCTATTATTTAAGAGTAACAACAAATCCATGTGACATATAATCGGTAGATTTGTATACGAAATTTATGATGTGACATTTTGTTTTAGTAATGTCAGACTGAAAAAAATACAAATATAGATTGAGTTTTAAAACATTATATTATGATTAAAAAAATGCATATTAATTAAATCTCGAAGGACAATCATATTACTTAAGAACAACGTTTTTGTAAAATCAAACACAAAAAAAAAAAGTTTTGAAACATGCTCGAAATGCCCATAAAGACATTGCAAGGACATGTATGTAAAATAAAATGTTTATTCGAAAAACACCATTAATTTTTCTTAAGAGAAGGAGATCACTTGCTCGTGAACGGTCTCGAATCGTTTTTGTCTACCTCGATCCTAAGATTGCCAAGATTTTTGGAATGTTTGTATTGCGAATTCAATTTTTTTTTTTTTTTTTTTTTGATAATTTTAAAAGTTATTAAAAATTATGTAATTTAAAGAAAAATGAAATAAAAAAGGGAAAAAAAAGTAGAGGGGAAAATAAGAAGAAGAACGTGGGAGGGACACGGGGGCAGGTTGGGAAAAAATCCAAACAAAGTTCACGGGAATGAGTAAATGACGCTTTTGTCCTTTTCTTTATGTCCTTTTTTTTCTTCTTCTTCTAGAGTGGTAGTTATTATGTGTGGTGAGGGACCACCTTATTCCCCATACACCGCTGTCTTTGTCTTTGCTTTCCATTTCCAATTGCATTGTTCTTCTTCTCTCTCTCTTTTTCTTTTTATTCTTCAAAAATTTCAAATTCTATTTTTGTACCGGAATTTCCCTACTTACTATGCTCGGGTTGTGCTCGGATAAGATTAGAGATATCTACCGAGTGAGGATACGAAACTCTTTCCGTCTTCATCTCTGCTTTCTATTTATATCTTCTATCTCCGCAAAATTCTTTTATTTTTTTATTTTTATAGAGATAATTTATATTAAAAATATAAATTATTTTAATAAATCTAATATGAAATTCAAAATTTAATTTCATATTTCTCCCCTCTATTTTCTTAATTTTATTTTAAACAAGGAATTTTTTGTGGGTCATGTTCAAGCAATTAAAACAAAATAGGTACAAATATTTAGAGACTAAAATAAAATATTTGAAAATAAAAAAATAAAAAAAAAACAGTTTGTGGAAATATTTAAAGATAAAAGAAGAGGGCAATTAAAAAATAATAATAATAATAATTGAACGTGTTCAATAATTTTGGCATTTTTTGGAATCATTTGAAATGTGTATGTACGAATTATTTACAAATAAATAATAGAGATTATTTTTTTTTAAATAATATTTAAATAAATTTTGAGAATCTTTTTGAATTATTATTATTTTTTTTATGTAGAGTACAATATCTTATATAATATAATTATGGACATGAGACTAAATTAATGTATGTTGTAAGAAAGGGAATTTTGCCTACTTGCAACCATGTTATAATAATAATAATAATAATAAAATCTATTATTTATTTTTTTACAAATATAAGACTACTTTATTATTTATTATTATTAATTTTATTCTTTAAAAAATAATAATAGTCCCTACACTTTAATTTATAATAATTAAGTTTTTTATATTACCTTTTAAGTTCGGGTGTATATAGTCCTATGAAAATATATTAATATTTAATAAAAAATTTTAAAAAATTAATTATTTAATTAATGTTTATAGTATTATACTATTTTTCACAATATATGTTTTTTTATTTATGAAAAAGTATTTTCTTAAAATAAAAAAATCATTTTTTTATTTAAAAAAGGAGTATTTTTCAGTAGTATGGAGTTCCATACCCAAAAACCAACTTAGGCTTAACTTAGGCCCGATCCAATTTTAGCTCAAAATCAAAGTTTGACCGGTTAAACTTGTTTATTCCAATTGTATGGATCACTATTTTAAGGATCGGACTAACCCATTTGGGCCATATTCAAATCGACCTATTAGCTTGGTCCAATGGACTTAAACTGACCTAGGCTCGATCCAATCTTAGTTCAAAGTCAAAGTTTGACCACCTAAACCTGTTTATTCCAATGATATATGGATCATTATTTTAAAGATCGGACTAACTCATTTGGACCATATTCAAATCGACCCATTAGCCTAGTCCAATAGGCTTAAACCGACTAGGCTCAATCCAATCTTAGCTCAAAGTCAAAGTTTGACCACCTAAACCTATTTATTCAAATCATACATATATCACAAATTTGATCAAATTGACCCATTAGAGCCATATTCTTCGACTTAAACCAACCTAGACTCAGCTTAGGCAATCGGCTCAGCTCAAATCAAATTTTGACAAGCTAAACCTATTTTAACGAGCTAACTTAGAGACTCAGCTTAGGCTCAAAGTTTGACAAACTAAACCTATCTTAACAGCTAACCTAAACTCAACTAGTTTGACAAGCTAAACCTATTTTAACAAGCTAACCTAAACTCAACTTAGGCTCAATCCAATCCCAATCCAATCAGCTTAGCTCAAAGTCAAAGTTAACGAGTTAAACCTATTTATTGAAATCGTATATTTATTCAAACCCATTATCAGTCCAAACCTATTTATTCAAATTGTATATTTATTCAAACCCATTATCAATTCGTATATTTATTCAAACTCATATTCAGATCGATCCGCTAGTCTGGTCCAATGGACGCGCGTCGATGGACTTTTCATCCACGCGTGTAGGGAAGTTTTTGGTGTTATTAGAAGGCTATTTGGAAGGTTAGCCTACCCTAAGCTATTTGATAAGACATAAAGAGTCCCCAATGGAGAGCTAAGGAGAGAGAAACTGATTGGACAATAATTTAAGAGAGAGAGAGAAAGAGACATTGTCTCGGAAGGGGTTGAAGAACACAGGTTTGAGGTAATGAGACATGTCCACTTGCTTCACTTTCATTTCCAAGTAAAACATGAACAACACATACAAAAAGAACAAGAACAAGAACAAGACCAAGAACACTACATCTCTCTGTACACCTTCAAAAAACAAAACCCACACACTTCCAACCAACCAACAATCACTTACTGCTTCAATCATGTCTTCTGCTGTGGACATCTTTTTGATATCTCCCCCTAAAAACATTCAAAACCCTTTCCTCACTACAAGAATGAATCAATATATCCATAGCTATGCCTCCTGTTGTATTGTAGTAAGCTCGCATACGTCCTATCCCATATTCCTATGAACAACGACTCATCGTCTGGGCTCAACGACACCCCCGATATCTCTCCGAAGAAATCAATTTCTTGTCTCTTTTTGTAATCTGCACTCGTGCTATACACATGTACGAAGTCTGCTGGTTCCGCAACTACCATGAATTGACCGTCTGATGAGTAACGAATTGAGCGAGCAGCACCGATGTGTCCCTTTAGAACTGCAACGGGTGATGAGAACTTCCTTATGTCCCATACTCGGCATGTCTTGTCTTGATTTCCTGTAGCAAACATGCGACCATCGGGGTGCCAAGCGGAAGCAAAGGAGTAATCTCGATGACCAACAACTGTGCCTATAGCCTGAAACACGTTCCAAAATGTCATGTCAATGTCACTGATCCATGAATTTCCATGGACACCATCTTGTATAGAATCCGGTTTGGTGAAATCAACCAGTTTGAACAGGAAAAGAGCATTGCTATTATGTATAACTCGATAATGCAAATCTGCACAGCAGATAACTTACCGTTCCGTTTCGGGAATCGACAATCAATCCATCCGTGTGATCCCCAACGACAACCATAAGCCTGCGGTCTGGGCTCACCGACGTGTGCTGCAGCATCAGAACGATAAACAAAGAATCATTAAAATATTTTCCCTGAACATTCACACAATTATTCCAAACAAAAAATCCTATTATCTCATAGACTACTATTTCATAGACTACTGATAGTTGCCATCAATACTTTTAGATTATGCATGTAACAGCCCAGCTCAAGTTCACCACTAGCAAATATTGTCCGTTTTAGCCCATTACATTATCACCGTCAGCCCCACAATTTTAAAACGCGTTACTATGGTGAGGTTTCTATACCCTCATAAGGAATACTTTGTTTCCCTCCCCAACCAATGTGGGATCTCACATTCCACCCCCTGAGGGTCCAGCGTCCTCACTGACACACCGCTCGGTGCCAGGCTCAGATACCATTTGTAACATCTCAAATCCATCGCTAGTAGATATTATCCGCTTTGACCCGTTACGTATAGCCATCAATCTCACGATTTTAAAACGTATCTGCTAGGGAGAGGTTTCCTTACAAGGAATGCTTCATTCCCCCCAACTAATGTCAGATCTCACAATCCACCCCTATTAGAGGCCCAGCATTCTTGTTGGCACACCACCCATGTCTTGGCTCTGATACCATTTGTAACAACTCAAGCCCACCACTAGCCGATATTGTCCACTTTGGCCTATTAGGTATAGCCATCGGCCTCACGGTTTTTAAACGCATCTACTATGAAGAGGTTTCCACACCCTTATAAGGAATACAAATACAAAGGGAAGAAAATGAAAAGGAACAGCCAAGTAAAATCTGAAGCAGACATACATTTACTGGCCAAGGAAAATGGAAGTGATTCAAAAGCTGAAACCTCTCCATCTCATACTCTCTCATGCTGCAATCATTATTTGCTGCCATGAAATGTAATTCACCGCTGCAAAAACAAATAAACCAGTTTGAATTCATGTAAATAATCCAACCAAACCAAACAAAACACAGCCTAAGTTCTAAAAATACCTCATGCTTTCATATATTTCAACAGCATTTGTAATGGCGTTATCGTCATGTGTAGTACGAGTACAGAAGCTTACTCCTTGTTTATCCAAATGCTGCACAAACGAACAAAAGTACTAATATACTAATAGAAAATTCACTATGATCATATCGCAAAATGTCGAATCCATATCATTCCTCTCAACATTGCACCAATTAACCAAACCATCGAACCCAATAAATATTATCAATAAACGGAGGTTTGACACTTCTTAGGTATATTGACAATCAACTATCTTTTCCAGGAATAGGGTTCGTTCTTATTTCATGGACCAAGAGAATACCGAAACCCAGCATGAGAAAATGAGCTTAAAATCACTAAGTACGCGCTGACCTTACAAGTAAGCTCTCCTTGGAATCCACCCGCAACCAGAAAATTATCCTTGACGGCAAGCGTGCTAATCTGAGTTTGTGTAAAACCCTCTAATAGACTTCCAGCATGTTTCTGCATGACCAGGCATAGAAAGCCAGTTACAGAGGGCATAGGGAATTAAGAGACAACTACCACACCAACCCGTAACTCCTAATTTTGGCTAGTATCCTTTGAAACGGTAAAGTGTTATTTTCGATGAACATAACAAGAACATTAATCATTTTATATCAGAACTCCCATGATATAAACTTAATGTGTAAGGTAATCTCATGCTTCTGTTAATAACTGAGCAGATTTGTGCACAGAGATAAGAGTAAGTGTGATACCGACCTCTGTAGGAGCGACATGTCCTGAAAAATTGAGGATTTCAGATAAGTTGCCAGATAAAGATGACCAATGCATGACAGAATAGTTCGACATCAAATAGACATCGTGTTTTGAAGTTGCCCAGACCAAGTTCCTTAGCTACAAGACAAAAGTAAATAATCATTTATTTCCCTCAAAAGCGCTCGGGAAGATGGTATAAGCATAGAAACCAACAACAGAAACTCAATAACGATTTCGCCTCAGACATGGACACAATTGATATCAAATCTAACAAATAAACAGACAATTTAACACGAAAAGTTGCCCATATATCATTTGAGAACAATCATGAGCTACCCTTTACCAAAAATAAGTAAAAAATAACTAGAGAAAAAAACTACCAACCAATAGCATGACCTACGTATAGAACGTGTCAAATAGTGCATCAACCTATCTTCATTATAGTTAAAAGTTGAAAACGGAGAATCGAACATTGTCCGTTGCAATACCTGAAAGTGCAAGATAGTCGGCTTAACCAATCTTGTATTATGAAAGAACTCATAGTAGTTCCCTCCTTTCTCTACAGCTTTGCATTCCTAAAAAGACAAATACAATTACTACAATACTTGTGTAAGAACTTCCAGTATCAATAAGGCCGTGACAGCCTCCATTCAACCTATGAACCTCAAAAACGATCACGAAGCAAACATCAATGATTCTATGACAATCCATACCTTATCAACAGCAGCTCCAGATGAAGGAATATTTTCATAATTTTTATACTGTTCAAGCCTTGTTAATCGATACTTTTCACGAGTAATGTTCAGTCGATCCCATGGAATACCTTGAATGTCCAATCCCTTCCTCGCAAGGGCAGACGACGTATCTATCGACTTTGTAAGCTGCAAATTTTTTGTAGATCTTAATGTCAAAGGGTCACACATGATATATATATATATAACAAATGGAAATCAAAGAAACAAACCATGTCGAATTCTTCGTCACCCAATTCTCCATCACCCCCATCATCAATTTCATCAGCCATTTCATGCCCACCCGCCATGTAATCAAATTCATCCATATTTTGCTGTTGGTAAGACATGATTATTCACTCCTTGACTATCTATTTCTTTGGAATCAAATGCAGAAATCTTGCTGGTAAAAAAAGCTGAAGAGATAATGCATTTGGATCAACACAGAATCAAGGAAACTTGTTTAAGAAAAAAAAAAAAAATAGCAAACCCATAAACAGATGAACATTCCATAAAAAACCCAATAAATATCAAGAACACAAGATGAACATTCGAGCAAGCATGAAAGTTCCACACAAACCCAGTTCTTATTTTTCATATCAAGTCTAATTACGAACGGAAAAAAACATAAAACCTATCATTCAATGAACAATGAAATAACAAGAATCATACCCACAAAATAAAAACACTCTAAAATAGAACAATGAACAATCGCTATAGGCAATCGAGAACAAAGGAAGCATGAAATCAGACAGAAACAGAAACAGAAACAGAAATCAACAAAACTCCGCGAATGATCCGAAGAAGAAGAGGATGAAAAAGGGAAAGAATCCGAAAGGAAACCTAGTGAAGGGAAAGGGGGATTCACAGAAAGAAGAAAAAACAATGATATCGAAGAACAAATTAAGGGATTTTGAGAAGGAAAGGATGAGATAAACACACGGTTTTCACTTCCTATGGTTTCGTCTCGTTTCGTTGCGCCTCTCTTCCTAAAAAATTTCTCAGAAGTGACAACAAACAACGATGGTGGGGGGTTTTAAGCAAGTCGGCAAACCGACCTTTCTCGAATTATAAATTAAATGCACTTAATATTATATCAAATAAAAAAAATGAAGAACATGATAAAATAAGTATGAAACAAATCTATTCAATTTGTTCATAAAAGTTTTAGATTAAAAGAATATGCTTTCTATAATGTTTTGGATCTTATCCATTTTGTTGTAAAATATCTTAGATCTCATTTTCAAACTAATTATATATAGTTGACTTTTACATAAATTATCGATTAGATACTAACGTAAAGTGATTAGTAATTATGTATCATATGGGTATTAGAAGATCTATAAATTTTGGACTTATGTTAAATAATAGATAAGAACTGATCAATGGTCACGGTACATACGTTTTTTAAGAGTGTTTGAACTTATGAATATAATAGTTTACGATCCTGTCTTTGATATAAACTCAAAAATTGATGTTTTTTTTAAAACTTGTTAGGAGAGGTTTTTACACCCTTTTGATGTATGATATCACAATCCACACAATCTAACTCCTTAAATGCCCAGCGTCCTCATTGGCACATCGTTTGATAACTGGTTCTTATATCACTTATAACCACTCAAACCCAATGCTAACAGATATTGTTCGCTTTGATCCATTACGTATCGCTGTCAATCTCATGAGATTTAAATCGTCCAATTCTTTAAAAGGAAAAAAATTAAATATCCTTACGATTTGTGTAAACAAAATCATTCATTTTAAAATATACGTGAACTTTCGAGAGTAATATTATTTTTTAAATAAAAAAATTAAAAACATTTTAAAAATACTATTAGAAGTTTAATAATATTTTTGAAAATACAAAATATAAAAGCAACTGTCCTTAGAAGTTTAGGCAACAAGCTGACCTTGTCCCAAGGTTTGTATATCATGCAATCTTGTCCAAAGTTTGAAAAATCATTCCATTTGGTTCTTGAATTGACACCTCTCTTAAATAGCTTAGAGAGGCGTTAAATGTTGTCTCGTCCTTTTTCCGAAGAGAAGAATACGAGAGGAGAAAAGAAAAAATAGTAGCAATCGAGATTGTGATGGTGATTGTCATGGATGGAGGAAAGAAAAGGTTAGAGACCGCAGTGGTTGATAAGGAAAAATATGTTAATAAAATGCAGCGTCACGTTAGATTAACGACTCACGGGCTAAACTGTCAAGTTCCAAAATGTAATTTTTAATTGAGACAAAATGAGCTCAATTACAAATAGATTTGAAATATTTGCAAAAATATAGCTACTTTTTATTATACTTTTATAGGAGACTTTTTTTTTTTTTTTTTTTTTTTTTTTTTTTTTTTTTGTAGAAACGTAAATAAACCGAAATTGGGAAATCGTGGGAATATGAAGAAGATAAAAAAAAAAAAAAAAAAGAATCAAATAAAGATGAAAGCAAAAGAAATAGGTTGAAGAGAGTAAGAGATGATCATATCGATCGAAACGAGCGAACCATTTAGGTCACAAATCAAGTGCAATTTGCCAACGTAGGTCCCGACTAACAAAACAATATTTAACTCTAATTTTTATTAATTAATTCCTTCTCGCTCCCTTATTTTCTAAAATATTTTTTAAAAAACAAATGAAACTAAATTAAATAGGTGTAATATATAAACACATCATGTTCATATCCAATAATTTTTTTAAAGAAAAGGTGAGAATATTTTATTCCTATCTTCTAAATTATCTCTAAAAAAATATAAAAAAAAAAAAAAGAAAAAGAATTTTTTTTTTGACGTCACCTATGAGTAACCATGTCGGTGGTGCCAACTGGGTGACGTGGACGCTACTATTATCTTTAAATATTCTACAAATTTATTTTCATAAATGATTAGCTCCATTTGTCTATATATTTTTAAAAAATATATTATTCGGATTTAATTAAATTCCTTGCTAAATTAATTAGAGACCAAATTTATAATTTGACGTAAAAAAAAAAAAAGAAAAAAAGAAATTTAAGGAAGATAGTTAGGAAGATATGAGTGTATGGGGGAATGGAAGTAATTAGGAAAGGGAACACACATGATTAGAGTAATAAAAAGCATGCACAAGGAAGGGGAAAACTAAAGCTTTTGCAATGGGAAGGCATGCTCTTTGTATACAGTGCCATTTCTAGCTACTTCTCTTCCCAATATATTCATTCTCTCTCTCTACTCATCATATTCTCCCACTTATCATGCAACTCTCAACACTTTTTGTCCCTCTTTCTCTACTATTAATCAATATACTACCTACTTCTTCCACCGCACGACACACGACACGTAAAACAAGAAATTTAAACATTTCACCTCTTCGGGTGGATACCCGTCTAAATAGTATATGACTTCTTCCAGTAGATACCCGTCTCTAAATGGTATATGACTTCTTCGAGTGGATACTCGTCTAAATGGTATATGACCCGTTCGAGTGGATACATGTCTAAATGATATATGATCAGTTCGAGCGGATACATGTCTAAATGGTATATGACCTATTCGAGTGGATACATGTCTAAATGGTATATGACCTCTTTGAATGGATACTTCCTGTCTAAATGATATATGACCTCTTTGAATGGATACCTCCTGTCTAAATGGTATATGACCTCTTTGAATGGATACCTCCTGTCTAAATGGTATTTGACTTTTTTGAGTGGGCACATGTCTAAATGGTATATGACCTGTTCGAGTAGATACCTGTCTAAATAGTATATTGACACGAAAGTTGATCATATTAGAAAGTGTATTGAAGAAAAGTTAGATGCATCAAGTAAAATGTAGCATAAACTTCATGGATCAAATGATATATGAGTTTATGTCAAGTCTAAGTTGAGTTTCAAAAGATTTATATATTGAAGTTAGTCTAAAGTGTTAGAAAGAATGAAGAAAACACAATGTGAAAAGGATTCTAAGTTCTAAATATTGCTAAACAAATGAAGCAATTATAAGGAAGAATATTCTTACGAGAATCTATCTGTTGGGCATTTTTTCTGGACCATTGAAGTTTGCAATGCCTTAAAAGCCAACAAAATGAAAGCAAATGGTAGGTTGGTTTAACTTAGCTGCTTCTTTGATGGTTCTGTTGGCTATTAAGAAGGCAAAGCATGGACCCTGAAAAGCCTGAAACAGTATCCCAATACTTCAAAAAAAAATTGCAAGCCTTTCTTTTTCATCTTTATCTGTCAGAGATGGCTCATTACAACTTACAAATCCAACAGATAATAAACAATGAATACTTTGAATTGCATGACTAATAAGTTATATAAGCTTTTTATACATTTATTTGCTATAAATTTGATGCATATGATTATGCTATGTCCCACTTTTTATTGGAAGATTCACCAAAAGGTTATCATTTCCAACAAAAAGTTCATTTTGATTTAGGAAACTTCCTTTGCTTCCTCCAACTAAGGCTCTAAACATACATGCATTAAAAAAGGTTGCAGGAGATGTTTTCTGAGAATTTCAAGCCTAATACATGCTAGGAGAAAAGGTTTAAAGCAAGAATTGATAAGAACATTTGAAAACTCAAACTGATACCATCATCATTATGCTTTGTTTTTGATGTTCATCGATTCCTTTGTTTTCATCTACATTGCAGGAAGACGCATCGTGGTGACTAGACACATGCTTTGTTGGCCTTTTCAGAACACTAGTAGGGACCAAATCAGATTGCTAGTGACAGAATATGTGCCCTCCACACAAGCTTATAAAATTTAGCCTCCTGTGAGTTTCTAAGAACATCAACTCTTCCTAAACCCTTTGCAAGATAAACATTCGGCAGAAATAATGAACACAAATGCATGTATATCAATTACACAGAGCACAAAGCACATGATTGCAAATTTCTAATGTAAGTAATGTTTTTACAGTGAACATACTTTGAGGTAACTTTTAAGAGCAAGTATTTTTTAAAAGAACACTCATTAAGCGCTTCCTTTCATCGACTTTAAAGTATTTGTACATGCTCCATAATCACTTTTGACTAAGTAATTAATCAACATTAAAATTTTGATGAGTACTTTTGAATGACTAAAACACTGTTTAACCCTCTATCTAATAGTTATCACGAACTCACCTAAAGTAAACATTCAACACAAATGATTAGCACAAATGCATGCATATCAATTGCACAAAGCATGACGCACATTTCAAGTATGCTTTCTGCTGAAAGATGGCGTGGGTGTGTCTTTTAACAAACTTTTTGATTTGTAATAATTGGTATGTGTGTTCATCAAACAACTAGAGTCCAACAAACATCAAGAAGAAACAAAGTCTCGTCAGTGGAGATGTCTGGCATCACCTATCTATTTTCTGAATCAAGATTAGAAAATATATTAAAAATCATAAACAATGATTCTGTGTATAAAAAGCTAGACAAACCTCAGAAAACAGCAGTAAAATAGGCATACGATTAATATACCTGCAGAGAACTGAAATTAAGGATATATGGCAAAACGAGCAACACATCATAGGATGGATAAAAATGTTTGACCCGTATCTGTCCACACAGAATATCTGTTACTGTGCAGTCATCAGAAGCCAATTCATCAATTTAGGAGCATATACTAGGGATACAACCAAAGCTAGAAGGATCCATCCATAATGCTCCCGCAAATACACAAGACGTGATACATACATATAATCAAAATGATGGGGAGGAAATTTTTAAACATTATTCACATGTTTAACAGAAGAATTTAGGGCTTATTTGGTGAGGATCCTGTTTCGTGTTCCATGTTTTCTGTTTTATACTAAAGAAAAAAAAGTGATTCATAATTGTTTCTTGTTTCTTGTTTCTTAAAAATGAGAAACGAGAAGCAACAAGAGTTGCTAAACACATGCTTCTTAGAAACTAAAAATAAGAAACAGTAAATGAGTAATTAGTAAACAAAAAATGAAAATACCCTCTTATTAACACCGTCCGTCCCAAAGAGGAGAAAATTAATATGAATACATTCACTGCCTGCGACCAAGGAGTAGAGACGAGGTACCGAACTATATCTGAATATTTACATTATTCATTAACTGGAATATGTTGTCTTAGTGTATCAAATGGTACACATAAACAGGGGTTAGGACTTATCTCTCATACATTCCTCTTGATTAGGGAGAAGTTTTGTTCACACTCCATAAGGTATTCCAATCATTCTACATTTTGAGGAGATAAAAGAACATGACAAGCAGGTTCAATATACAGCTGGAGAAGGTATAGTGTTGTATCAGTAGAGGATACATTCATGGGGACCTTGCTCAAGCACAAATACATGAGCCAAGAGGCAGTGGCTTCAGCCCTTCCTAAAGATCACCAGGCTACATTTAAACATCCATTGAGCTTCCAAGCCTGACCTTTATGTTCACAAAGTGCTTTTTCTGAATTTAATAAACAAACTGAAGAGGCACTTTGTTTACGTTAACTGTAGAAATATTTTGATGAATCTTCCAAATATATCAAACAAGTTATATTAACCATCACCACGGTTCTATATGTCCTCCATTTTCGCCATTTGTAATATCTGCTGCATTATTTGTAGTCCAAAAGTCTCCATTTGACCTATTGCTTGGCAGATCACTCTCCTCATCCTCAAAATCTAAATCCTCATACTGAAATAAACTCTCAAAACCATCTTCGTAATCATCATCATAGTCAGTTTCCATCTCATGGTCATGACTATGATTTTCATGATCATTTCCATATCTACTGTCATATATTTGAGCCTTCCTCTTCTCCCGTCTCATCCTTTTCCCTTCCATCAAAAGCTTCATCCATTGATTTTTGATAGCCAAAGTCTCATCCTTCTCTATTAGATGACCCTTATCGTTGAACCCCTCTACAAGGAATACAGAGTCTCTCTGACCCTTCAGACTCACATAAAATAACTCTGGATGCCTCACAATCATTCCTCTAAGTTTATTGGGTAGCCCAAAATCTTTTCTAAAATGAGTCAAGTGATCTATTAAAGTCCTCTTCTCAATCATCATCCCCAATACCTCTCGCACTACAGCACAAGCTCGTTTCTCTGACTCGAGAGACTCCTTAGCCAACTCACTCGCAGGAGTTTTGTAGGGGCAAACATCTGGCAAATCCCTGAACTTAATTAGAAATTCCTGGTGGGCTCTTTTCAAGTTCAGTCCCTTTCTTAGTTTCAACAAGTTGAATTTTAAAGGTCTATCCACTATTAGCTCACGTGAAGAAACTTGAAGGCAAGGTAAAGTCTTTGCCAACTCTGGGTCCCAGAAGACAAGCTCCAGTGCACGGCCATATGAAGTATCCACAGTCCTGAACTTTTCTGGATAATCATTACAGAGACGGGACCTAAAATTTGGGGGCATGCTTAGGTCGGGAGCAAGGTGAACCAGCTTGGATAAGAGAATCCTGTGGTGTGAAGAAAGCATAAGTAACTTCTGGAGCTTTTCAGCCAGGGTGTTAGAGATCACCAATTTGAGATTGGAGTCCTGCTTAGCAAGAGATGCTGCTGCTGGGGTTAGACGAACACAAAGTTGGGGGTATAGCTTAGTTGCATTGAGTGGTGTGGGTGGATAAGGGATTGAAAAAAGTTCAAAGATGGAAGGATAACGATGAATCATTGAAAGAAGAGAGCGGGGTTTGGGAAGGGAAAGATAGCCACGACACTTGGAAAGAATGTGGATTGGTATATAATGCTTTGGTTTAGACAGCAGCAGGATTATCAGCTTTTGTACAAATCGAGTTTTGTTATGTTTTACAGCATGCCGATCTAATGGACAACTACGGACAATCTTAACAGAGGCACGAGGTGTTAAAGTATAACTAGTCTCGAAATTTTCTTTTCTTTGGTACTTGCAACCGACATTGGAGTGCAACCACAATGGAGTACCACGAAGGAGGTTTGAACTACGGGATGTTACATGCCAGTCCCTAGGGGTCAAAAACTGAGAAGATAAAGCCATTTGTCAGTTTTGTATAGGTGGAAGGGCTTTTAGCCTACAATAGGTAGAAAAGTACATCAAATTAATCTAAAGAAGATGACACATCCTTCTTCCAACTCTGATTCTAGAGCATCGGATGGGGGATGCTATTACTTTCAGTTTGTTTACCACCTGCAGTCCATTAATAACGTTTAAACAGTTAAACATTTCAGTACAGCTTATGGTCCCATGGCATTGTAAACAACACTTTACTTTCTCAACTTGTACAAAGTGAAAATTATGAATAGAAAAAATAGCAATGTGAAACAGAGTCCAGAAAATCAATTTGCTAGTGAAATGTAAAAAAAAAAAAAAAAAAAAAAAAAAAAAAAAAAAAAAAATATTCACAATAGANTGCCAACATCTTGAGTTCATAACGAACTATATGCACATGTTTGATTCTGAGAATAAAATGAATAAGTAAAACCCATAATCTGTGGAAGAAAATTGTCTGGCGTCAGGGGGGAGAGTAAACTAGAAAATACTAAAAACCAGGACTTTTAGATTTCAGACATCCTTCTCTTCAAAAAAAAAAAAAAAAAAAAAGAAGAGAAGAAAAGAAAAGAAAAAAACTCGTCAAGTGTGTGGCTGGCTCTATGTAGATGGTAATGGTTTTCCAGCAGCCAGAAAACTTTTCAATTGCCACAGCTACATGGAGAATTAGAGTAAAAAGTAAAAAGTGTTATCTTGGAAAAGTTCATAATCAAATGTAACTCTATTCTATCTCATTTTTTTTTACGAAAAACTTGGAATTGGATCTGTAAACCTTGTTAAAGAACGAGATCTCTAGATTTAAATTATCCAAGAACCCCAAAAAATGAAAAGGAAACAGCCCAAGGAAAAGTTTTGGAACAAATTACCTTGATGATCAAAATCAAGAGTAAAGAAAACTCGTTTCTAAACTCGTGATTCAAATAACTCCACAAGATAGCTTGATCAAGACTACTTGAATGACTCTAGCATGCAAATCTAAACACAAGAAATGCAAAAGAACAAGCTCTTGGCCATAATATGCAACTATCATTATAATATCCAAAGTCTTCATACTAAATCAATAACATAAATAACTATTTATAGCCTTGAAAATAAACCTTATAATAATCCGGTTGTAACTTTCATGACCATCAATACCCTAATGGTCACCAACTACATATAATTTGAGGATAATTCTCTAAAACTTAAAATATACAATAAAACCTTCTTAAATCTAAATCATCCATGGCATGATTAAGGTGCACCTTATTTCGTTCACCTGACAGAAAATTAACAAATCTCAACCACTGCAATCAATGTCCTTCACCATAAACGAAGATATAGTGAAAACCCACTTCCTATTCCACACTGTTCACAAAACCAAACGCCAATTTCCTCTGGCAGTAACACCCTTATTCTCGGTCCAAACATCAAACACCTTTCAGGAAAGCACTGCAAGGTTCCTATCTCATCCATTATTCCTTCTCGTAATTTTTTTTTTTAAAAAAAAATAAACGGTGAGGCAACCCCATCTAGGATCCATCTCCTAACACAAATCTATCCTCGTAAATGAGTTAGATACAGGTAGAGGAAGAACTGATCCAATTTAGTGGCAAGCCATGCATAGTCTCACGAATCCACAATTTGTGAATAAAATTTATTCACAAGCATGTAAAAGTAGCACAGCAGAAGACTGTAGTGGAAAGTAAAGATGAGGGCACGAGAGTGTTAACATGCTATCTGGATTGAATCGAAATGAGAAGATAAAGAACATAGACGAACCTGTTGAAAGCTGCTGCGAAGAACACGAGAGGCGTATCCCGTAAGGGTTTATAAGCGAACAGCCGAGACCGACTGGATGGCTATAGGGGTGCGCGTCTAAGTTCCAAGGCGATAGAATTATTGGACGACCATACCGTTGATCCGATTTTTTTTTTTAATTATTATATATATATATATATATATATATATATATATATTATTTATTTTTAAATCTCAAAAATACAAATAAAATTTAAATAGTAAATTATCATCCTTTATCATTTTTAAAAGTTAAAAAATACTTTATTGTTAATGTATGGACGAATATCGTTGATCGAAAAATACCTCATAATTTATCTGCAAACATTTAATGTTATTTAAAAAGTTCATGAGTGTTTTTATAACGTTGTATTAACGGTAAATGTATTTTTAAATTTTTTAAAAAAATTGAAGATTTTTTCACAAAGTTTTTTTTGTAAAATTTAAATGAGTCAATACCTCATAATTTATCTATATGCCTCTCAACGATTGCCATCTATATGGAGTTCACAAAAGTTTACTTTCCAAATGCAAATGAATTTATTGTTAAGAAAAATTGTAATGTGGATAAATAAACATATTTTCTTGTAGACGTGATGGTGCTTCCAATGAGTTAAGTGGCCCGATGGTGGTCTAATCTAGCCCTATTAACACAACACAATCACTAGAGAGGCTTAGGTTTGATATTCCTTCGAAGAAAGAACTGAACTATTCTCGTGATAAAACCATTTTATCAAGATAAAAAATATCGTACACGGATAAGGTGCTACAACAGTTGCAAGATACAACTTAGACTCGGGTTTGATTATTTTAAAAACTACGTGATTTATTTTATTTTATTTTTATTTCAACAAATGACATAAGAAATTCATACAAAAAAAAAAAAAAAAAATCATAATCATAAATAACTCTCTATTAACATACAATTGTATAAGCATGGAAGATTGAAAATTTGCTGTTTTTTTTTCTTTTGTCAAGAAAAACTTACCAGTAAAAAGGGGTATGGATTTCTTGTACAAACTCGATGCTCCCATTGGAAGTTTTCACCTGTTCAAAACAACCTTTCCCAAGTTCAAGCTGCGAACATCCATAAACTCGTAGACTACTTAACCTGACGAGCTTCGACAACGCTTTCTGGGAAGGCAAGTTTTTCAAATTTCTGCAGTTATAAAGCTTCAATATCTCCAACGATGTAAAGTTTCCGAACCATTCTGGTAAAGCTTCAACATCGTCAAAATGCGAAATATGCAGTGATCTCAAAGCAGTGAGGTGCTCGAGTTCTTGAGGAAGTTGTGCTGCATCGCTTCCCAAGTGAGCCAACACAAGATTCTCAAGTGATCTGAGATGGATGAGAGGACTCCAATCATAAATATTCAAGTCCCCATGAATACTCAAGTCTTTCAAGTTAAGTAGGCTGGCAATCCCATAAGGCAGCTTCTGAAAATCTCTTATACTTAAACAACACAAGCTTTGCATATTCTGCAAATTCAGATCTGAAAAATTGCTTATCCACAAGTTTTCAACAGAACTGCAGAATTCTAACCCGTCCCGTAGTTTTGACAAGTTTTCGCATCCCAAAATCTTTAGAGATCTAAGCTTTCCACAACCTCGAAAGCTCGGAAACGTCCTCGAAGTAACGTCATCACCTTCCAACCTCTTGCAATAAGATACAACAAAATTTGGAATGTTCATTAATTTCCCACAACAAATAAAGCTCAAGCTTTCAAGATGAGGAAACATGGTATCGTTTGATATACATGATATCTCTCCCCAGTGCTCTAGATTTTTCATTTCAAAGATATGAAATGACTTCAAGTTCAGGAACAAAGTCCTCTCTCTGAAATAATTCCCATAGAATTCGTCCCCTATTCTTCTTACACTAGGTAAGTTACGAATTTCGAGTATCTCGAGTTTCGATAATTGTCCAAGCATTGGTAAAGTTTCACATCGCTCACAGTCATGTAGATATATCTCGACCATGTTTTCAACAAAAATTCTACTCGGTAGAAGTTCACCTGCAAAGTTTCGAATTCTTAAGGCTTGAAGATTTTTGTGTGGTTGAAGCCCTTCCAAAACATCTAAATCATTGTAATTATCACCTTCCCTTTCATGTTTCCAACCCCATTGGAATTCTAGATGAAAAATTTTCTCCTTCTCCACCAATTTTGCAGCCATGGCCTCCTTTTTATTCTTTACTCTTTCCAGACAATAGAGGCTTAAATTACCTTTAAGGTTCTTCAGAGATCCAAGTTCATCTATCTTATATCCCTCATGTAACCCAACTATAAAACAAGACAATGTTTGAAGTTGAATCAATCGACCCAAATGTGGAGGCATTTGCTTAAACTGATTTGAAGGATCAGTGTAGAATTCTAAATGTCTTAAGCAGATCAAGTTTCTCAGATTACTTGGAAGATCTTGAACAAATCTTCCAAGCTTCAACGTTTGCAAATTATAAAGTAGACCAAGAGATTCGGGAAGCTTACTTATTGAAGAATTTGAAACGTCAATGTACCTCAAATGCTTCAATGTACCAATTGAATTTGGTAATTCAAGTATAAAATAAGATGAATGCGTAATTAAAACACGCAAGTAGGTAAAGTTTCCAATCTCAGAGTGAAACACATGACGACCAAATGTTAACATGTGCAACTTTCTAAGATGTTCGTTACTAGAATCAAGTGTTCTTTTTCTTCCATCGTTCGAAATAGAACTCGCTACGTCGTGTATAAAATCATGCATCTTAAAGTATACAGCTCTTCCTCTCTTATCCTTGACAACATCTTGAAACAGGGAGCGAGATAACAAAATGTTGAAATAATTGTCTCCAACATCCTCCATTGTTACATTCACTTCCTCAGGTGGTTGAATGAATCCTTGTGCAATCCACATTTGAATAAGTGAATCCTTTCTAAACTCGAAGTCATGAGGAAAATTTGAACAATAGGCAAAACATTGTTTTAACGAAGGCGATGGTAGGCGATCCACACTTAGTTTTATTGTGGATAAAACACGGTTTTCATCTTGCAACGGAATTCTCGTTAAATATTTCAATGGAGATTGTAATCTCTCATAATTCTTATATAATTTCATTGTTCCTCCTAACACTTTCACAACCAACGGTATGCCACAAAAATTTTCAACAAGCTCTTTTCGTATCATATCTAACTTTGGAATTGTTGGTGAATCACTTCCAAATGCACATTTCTCAAATAAAGACCAACAATGATCATTCGATAGCTTTTTCAAACGATGCCACGAATGTGTTTCCATGATCTTTGCAACTTCTTCACTCCTAGAAGTCACAACAACAACATTACCGAATTTTCGAGTAATCTTTAACAGACAAGCTTTTAACTCATTCCAGAGGCTAAGATTCTCATTCCAAACATCATCCAATACAAGGAAATAGTTTTTTTCCTGCAACCATTTTTGGATCTCTTGGAGTAAAGCTTCCTTACTTTCCAATCCACCAGAATTGGGATTAAGAGTTTCTAAAATTGCTCTTAAGATCTTGTTGATAACAAAAGGATCAGATACACACACCCATATAGTTCTATCAAAATTCCACCTAATCACTTCATGATTGAAGATTAGCTTGGCCACAGCTGTTTTCCCTAATCCGCCCATACCAACAATAGGTAGAACAGACAGTACTTCACTATTTCTAAGTTCAATCAACTTGTTCACTATCTCCGACACTTCTTCATCTCTTCCAATTACTCCAAACTCGTCAAGAAACGAATCCGTCTCATGAATCTGACTAAGATCAGGTTCAATTTCTTTGGATGTTATAGCAACAAGTCCAACAACACTCGCCGCAGAATAATGCTCTTTCAACATTGTAGAAATCGCCTTAATTCTATTTGCCATTTTGAGACGAAAAACGAGAGGATTTTTGGAGAGAGAAACGAAATTACGTACCATCACATCTTTTCCGGTTTCCACCTTACGTCGAAGACGTTCATAAGCAAGATCGTCGAGTAAAACATCGGCTTCGAATACAATATCTTGAAGCTTCTCCACCCATGGCTTCACTTCAGGATACTCTGACTTTATTCTGTCCACATCGCGAAGGATGGCATGAAGCATGAGTAAAGAGTCTCTCATCTTCAAGAGGTCCTTCTTGAAACCCCATGCCAAACCTAATTGCTGTGCTGCAAGGCTCGCCGTCTTCTTCAACAGTTCCTGCACGGCAAAAGTCCACAGGAATTCCGCCATTGTTATCTTCTTTGACCCTCCAGATTTGCAGTGATCGGAGGAAAGAAGGTCCACTTCGTTGAACACCCAAAGGATATTTCTGCAAGAGATTAGTCAATGATTTCATCTTGTCCTGTCCACACACACACACAGTCCAAAAATAAAATTTTAAAAAATATGTATAATAAAAGTGGAAACCAATTTCGTTTAAACAAAATAAAAATAATTTCATTTTCGTTTAAATGGTCGGTCATCATATTTTTATTTTATTTTGCAATGGGTTGAAAAAAAAAACTAATTTAATAAAAATACAAAATAATAATAATATTCCCTTTTTAAAATTTCAATAATAACCCTCCACTTAAATGGAGATTTTGGCGTTTTAAACTTTTTTAAAAATTTAAAATGTTTTAAATTTAGGATTTTAAATGTAAAATGAGTAACAAAACAACAACGAGTTCACACCAGGATTGCTCCAAGCAAATCCTTCCCACACGATAGTTAGCAGTTTGACCTACTTGACGTTCTTTTTTTTTTTTCTGTTACCTAAAGGCGTAGATTCTGAAGTAGGCACTCCAAGAGTGATCTCTTCATCGTCTGTGTCGAAGACTATTCTTATATAATGAATAATCGAGAAAAGTGACTTCCTAAAATAAAATCCAAAAAGATAAAAGCAAGCCTTCAATAATTATTACTATTATTGTCTAATATAATTAAGAAATAACTAAGAAAGAAAAGCATTGAATAATTATTATTATTATATCTAACATAACTACGAAAACATAATAGTAAAGCAACCGCTACTTTAGTCTGTCATGTATCGTTGTCAGTCTCACAGTTTAAAATGCATCTTAAAATTGTGAGACTGACAACGATATGTAACAAGTTAAAGTAGATAATATCTGCTAGCCGTACCTATAATTTTACTATAAAGGCATACAATATTGTCGATCACGTTAGTTTAAACACTTAATATTCTTCTGGTTTTGATGCAATCAAACATTAAATGAAAACTTTCAGCACCAACATTCATAATCTTGATATTCGTGATTCATAAGACACATTAATTAGTTATTGGATGGATGAACCCATTAATGAAAATGCCAAACTTGATGGAAATAATTTCTAAAAAGTTATGGTTTGTAAGATACGGCTCTTGGAAATGGACTTCTCCAGGTACAAACGCTTTGATTATATATCAATTGCCAACATTTGGAGGAAGTACCTTCGGGAAAAAAGAAGGGAAAAAGGTCATTGTCTATGAATAACACATGCCAGCCATCAAACATATTGACAATAATTTTTGAATATGGGTATATGAACTTCCGAATTCTAGGTAGAAAGAGTACACATCTGATATCGCTAAGTCATGCTTATGGTAAATATAAACAATGACTAGTATCAATAACCAAAGACCTTGTTTAGGCGAATAATATTAATATGTAACATTAATCCACTTCTATCACATAAAGAATGGAAAACCCGATTAGAGTTTCACAGTTAAGGCATTAATAACGTCATGAACATAACTTGGTGAGTAAGACCTTATTTAAAAACTCTATTCCTCAGTTTCAAAATGGTTGGAACTAGAGAAAATATACATTCTTACATATAGCAATGTGCAACGTGCAACGTTAGAATTTCACCTCACACTTGTGATGTTATATTAAAGAAATGATGGGAAACAAAAAAAAAAAAAAAAAAAAAAAAAAAAAAAAAAAAAAAAAACCCC